CACAAGTGAGCGTAGAGGCATTTGATTTGAATGAACCATATTTCTCACAACTAGAGGTGACTCCGGATTTTCTGGCGGCGACACAAATCATCCCTAATTATTGTGAGACTAGTGGAGCGAGAGAGGTGCACAGAGATTCCCATACATTTAACTATGGTAATTTAGGGGGATTTGTTGGTGAGTCGAGTTCCGCGAGACGGAGCATTTTCGAAGATGAAGACCCTATAGGTGACTCATTTGGGCCGAACAGTCTTGTGAATTCCGAACTATCCGATGACGGAGACGACGACAATGAAGATGAAGACGTACAAGATGGTGTTCGGGAGACGTGGTTGCAGCACAACGAGGCGGAAGCAGAGGAACAACCGACATTGTATGAGTCAATCCCATTTTTCTCGATGTCGTTTCCAGAAGTGGCGGCAGATTCAGTTGATGTTGGAAGGGGTCGATATGATAAGTTTTACGATAGCGATCAAGGTATTCTTGAGGTTGGGATGGTGTTTGAGGACAAAAAACGCCTTTGCGCCGCGGTGAGAGACCATTCGATTCGATTTGCTAAACGTGAATTCACGGTTGTCGAAAGTAAGCCGAAGCTATGGAGTGTCAAGTGCAAGCATAGCACACCTGAAAGGCCTTGTAGATGGTCGTTGCGGGGAATTGAAAAATCGGGCAAAGGATTCTTCCTTATTACGAGATATGGTGGGCCCCACAATTGCATAATGGATGAAATGTCGAATGAACACAAGAATTTGGACAGGAACTACATTGCTGCCTTATTGGTTCAGTCCGTTCGAGATGATCCAGCTTGCAAAATAACACAAGCACAAAATATTGTGAGGTCTCAATTAGGATTTCAACTTTCAAAGATGCAAGCTTGGTATGGTTTGAAGCGTTGCAGAGATAACTTGTTCGGGAGTTGGGAGTCCTCAGTGAACAAATTGCCCAAGTTTATGAAGGCACTCCATAGAACGAACCCGGGTACGACAATTGAGTGGGTTTTCAAACCAACAGACATTCCAACACGGAAGATGATCAAGTACTTCTTTTGGGCCTTCAAGCCATGCTTGAATGGATTCAAGTTCTGTCGAAAAGTTATTAGTGTGGATGGAACTCATATCTACACTAAGTACAAGCACAAGTTACTGATTGCCGTTTGTTTGGACGCCAATAACCAAGTGCTACCACTAGCATTTGCTCTTGTTGACAATGAAACCACGGCGGCTTGGAGGTGGTTTTTTCAAATGCTACACAGACATCTAATTTCTCAAATTCCAGATGGAGAAAGCATTTGTGAAATTTCAGATCGAGCTTCGGGAATTTTACGAGCTTTAGCGGAGTTGCCCGAATTTGCTCCCCTAATGTTTTCACAGGTTTTGCTTGAGACACGTGTGCTCCAATTTCAACAAACGTTTTAAGAGTGTAGATTTGAAGGATATATGCTACAACGCGGGAGCGGAGTCTCAAATTTGGAAGTTTAACCACATTCTTAATGTGATCAAAACTCGGAGTGTTGAAGCTCATAACTATTTGAAGGATATTGCTCAAGAAAAATGGCATTTGCACATGATGGGGGCAAGCGTGGTGGTCAACTTACTACAAACATGTCAGAGGCTCATAATGGTGTTCTCAAGGGAACTCGAAAACTTCCCATTTCAACAATTCAACAATTGTTGACCTCACATTCAACCGCATTCTTAGGTATTTTTTTAATCGTCTCGCACAAGGCCAATTTGATGGTTCATCAACCGCATTCGTAGGTATTTTTTTAATCGTCTCCACGAGGCCAATTTGATGGTTCAGAATGGACAGTTGTGGTCCACATATGCTGATGGCATTTACCGGACACATGAAGCCAACTCTGTTAGATGTTTCACGACTCGTTATAATCAGCAACAACTCTCTGGCGAGGTGATCACTAGAGCTCGTCCAAGTGGAGGTGGAAATAACAAACACACTGTGAGTTTAAGGGTCCAAACTTGTACTTGTGGAAAATGGAAGCTACAGGAATCCCCTGCAGTCATGTCCTCCACGTGTGCCGTGAATGGATGTTGTCTGCCTCCGTATATGTGAACGATTGCTACAATGTTGATCGATTAGTGAACATTTATTTTGGGATATTCCAACCCCTGTTGAGTGAACATAATTGGGAGGATGTTGGTTTTGAACTAATTCATGATCCAACACTACTAGGGGATCGAAGACGCAGTCGAATTCCTAATGAGATGGATGTGCCACAAACAAGGGCAAGACAACAATCTAGAAGAGATGAACAAGCAAGACGGCTCCGATCGTATAATTTATGTAGTTCATATTAGTTTGTATTATTTATATTGTTATTTTCTAGTTTTCAAGTCGGACTACGTAGTGTCTAATTATCATGTTTGACTTTGTATTTGTTATTGCACTTCGTACTTATTATCTGAGTTTATCTATGTATTATCGTGTTTTCACGTCGGACTAAGTAGTTTTCTAATTATCGTGTTTGACTTTGTATTTATTATTGCACTCGTACTTATTATTTGAGTCTATCTTAGTGTTTTATTTATTAGTGTGTATTTATTATTACACTTGTGCATATTATTTGAGTTTTCTATGTATATTATTATACATGATGGATGTCAGTTATGTTTATGGTCCGCGAGACACTTTATTGCTATACCGCCAGTCAGAGCATGTATCCAGATCGATTACATCGGCAAACGTGGATGATATTGTGCGCGGGAGACGCTGTGATGGTTGGATTTGGGGTTTATATGGAGATGATGGTGATGATGATCCACACCCTAGAGTGATGCAGTACTTAGTTGATACTAGGTTCTATGGAGTATATCGATGTGGTCGTCTCGTAGTCGATTTGCATCTTATTGCAGCTTTAGTGGAGAGATGGCATCCAGAGACACACACGTTTCATTTTCGAGCAGGGGAGGCGACAGTGACCCTTGAGGATGTCGCATTATTATGGGGTTTGCCTGTTGATGGACTACCTGTTACTGGATAGGATATTTCATGGTCGAATGAGCAGTGGCAGGATTATTGTCAGACGTGGTTGGGATATACTCCTTCAGATCGAGCTTTCAAAGGGAGACGGCTCTATGCAACTGATCTGGCCATATATTTACGACATTGCAAGATTACCGATGACAGCACGGAGCAGCGTGTTCAGCAGCATACCAGGTGTTTACTGTTATTGCTACTTGGGGGGTTATGTGTCCTGACACATCTTCAAGTGCAATCTCGTTGTTGTATCTTCGTCATTTCGAAGATCTTGAGGCGGTGCGTACTTTCAGTTAGGGTAGTGCAGTTCTTGGATATTTGCATCGTGAGCTATGCACTGGGGCTTTACTTAGGAAAGTTGTGGAACAAGACGGCACTGTTGAGTTGATTAAGAGGAAAACTAATCTAGGTGGTGCGCTTACTCTGTTACAGGTAATAGGATTTTTGATACTTTTAAAATTTAAATTAATAGTTTATTATTCTTGCGGTTTTTCATATTTTTTTATGTTTAATAATTAGTGTTGGGCATGGTCGAGGATCCTTTTACTCGCTCCAGCAATAGTACCAGTAGTAGAAGATGATCCCCGTCGGCTTGCATATCCCCACCCTCGTTACGGTGCACGGTAAACATCTTAGTACTAATAATTTATTTATATGAAGGTTAATATATTGACTTAGCAAATTTTCATATGATATTACAGTTGGATCAGACCTACTAGTCACACTCGGTCCTCGCGAAACAATATACGTGTTTATCGTACGATGCTCGATCGGATGCTCTGGGATCAGGTTATTTATAAGTTAACAACAATTACGTTAATGTTTGTGGTCTATTTAACAATTTATTAAAAAATAATTTTTTTTCTAGTTTACATGGATGCCTTATAATGAACTAGATCCTGAGTTTGTCGCTTTACTTGAGTATCCTGAGATAGTGCATCCACAACTTTGGTTGTCGAGTTGTCCCCTTATATTTTACGAGAGAGTTGAGATGCATCGTCCGTATAGGGTGCTACGTCAGTTTGGGAGGGTACATCATATACCACCACATCCTACTGATCACGATGTTGAGATTAAGTTGCATTCTTATGATCGTCGAGGCGCAGGGGGTAGAGATTGGGCTCGTTTTCACCGTATCTATGTTGATAGATGGCATGGCCGACTTGATTCTCCCGTTGACTATCCATTTATTGAGTTTAGTGGGCCTCAGACAGATCCAGGATACTACGAGTGGTATGAGAAGCACACACGTCGTTTGATATCACCGATTGACAATCTTGATGATATCGGTTTTCAGGTCGGAGACCCGATTTTACTGGATCTTGTGGTTAGTATTTTTCTCAAAACAACCATTACTTTCGATGTTTTTCAATTTGTTTTTTCAGTTTCTTAAGTTCTTAAACTTGTAATGCCTTTTATTTCAGGGTAATCATCTTATATCCATGAGTCTTGCTGCTAGGGAAGTTTCTCGAGATGACGATCGGATATATGATCTGTATCAGGACAACGCTACACGGATGTATGCAGCTGGGACTCAACTTCTACGTAGAGATGGTGCTTCGTCCAGCTTATCTCCGATACCTGCCATACCTCCTATACCTTCTCCACATCGAGATAGACGTACTAGAAGAAGGTCCAACGCTACCGAAAGAGCTACTGAATTGGAGGATGACGTGAGACAGACGAGAGAGGAGAACTATTATGCATCTACATCTCGGGTACCTCCATTTGGAGATGTTGCCGGTCCATTTGCTTCCCATACACCCTTTTATGCAGATGTTCCTGTGCATGGAGGTATGGACGATTTATCTACTACACAGGGATTTATGGATATGTTCGGTGCGTCTACATCTCAGGTACCCATATTTACAAATTTAGTTGGTCCATCTACGAATGATTACGTTCCAGATATGCCATGGTCCGATTCTCTAGCTACCCCACATCCTCCTGCTATTGATACCCGGTTCTCTTCATGGGGTCCACATTTGGAGCTCAATTTGGGATACTCAAGTCACCAAGAGCGGATCTGACCACAGTATAATGTTTCCCCTGTTCCATATCCACCGGATGACACCCAGTTTGTTGATGATGTACCGGCAGATCCTGACATTCGTCGAGATGGTAAGCCGCGTAGGACTAGACGGGCACCTGCATGTGGCACTGGTTCACATAGGCACTGACTTCATAGTGCCAATTTTATTTTCTTGTACTCATTTTGTCTTTTTACTCATTTTGGACCTATTTATTTTATATAACTCTTTTATTGGATCTATTTATTTTATATAACTCTTTTATTTTCTAGAACTCCTTTTGTTTTTATCTACATATTTTATTGTGTTGATTAGATAAATATATGCAATGATTAATTTAACACTAATTGATAAAATGTAATAAATCTAATTGATAAAATGTAATAAATTTAATAAAATGTAGTTAGAATTATTTTATTTGTAAAAAAAAAATTAAAAATAAAAAAATATTAAAATATCAGAAAATATTAAAATATTAAAATATTAAAAAATAATAAAAATATTAAAAAATAAGAAAATATTAAAATAATAAAATATTAAAAAATATTAAAATATTAAATTATTAAAATAATAATTTAAAACCGGTAGAAGACGCCACCGGTGGCGGCGTCTCCAGGCGATGCCGCCATTGGCAGTGGCGTCTCCGGCCGGTGCCGCCATTGCCGGTGGCGGCCAACCCCAATTTGCTAACTCCCCAAAACAACACCATTTTAAAAAATCCAAAACAAAACAACCCAAAAAAAAAAAATTGCCCCCTCAGCTCAACCTTATATTACTTTCACAACAAATTAATCACTCATAGAAAAAGATTAACCAGTGTAAAGTCACACTGACATTTGCCGGCACATATCAATTTCATATTCCATAAATTAAGTTCAGTATTTTCAAACATGAACAAAATTTCTCCAGTGGTAAGCATTTGATTCCCATGTCTGCTGGATTGAATTCATATGAGATTTTTTCAAGTTCAATCGAACATTTTCCCACAATACCCCTTATGAAATGAAACTTTGCATCAATGTGCTTAGTCTTATCGTGGAAAACAAGGTTTTTACTATAACACTCCACCTTCCAAAACTCTAAAACCCGAAATTAATCTTCCTAACTCGAGAATTCCTAGGTGATATTATTACGTGAAATTAATTATGTAAAATTACGTGAATCTAATTATGTGACTTACATGAATAATTACACATGTCTTATTTAATTGGTAGATTATTCGAAATGTGGTGATTTCATGAAATTATTTACGTGAATTATAATATTTAGAACTTTATATATATATATATATATATATATATATATATA